GGTTTAATGTCGCGGTCTTCCAGCTGGTCTTTCCTGACTTCATCATCACTCCACGGTTCTCGATCAGCCGATGTTGATGTTGTAATTTGTCTTGCGACCGGAGTCAGCAGCTCGTATTTCGCTTCCACCCTGGAACAATATCGGCAGCTTTCTTGGCAAGGTCTTCTAGACAGGGCGTCGGCGTTTCCGTGTGATGATCCCTTACGATGACGGATAGTGATGTCATATTCTTGGAGTCTCTGTATCCACCTGGCTATTTGACCCTCAGGATTCTTGAAATTTAAAAGCCAGGTCAATGATGCATGATCGGTGCGGAGCAGGAATTTTCTGCCATATAGATAGTGATGGAACTGTTGTTCTACGGCTTTGACTATGGCGAGCAACTCTTTCCTGGTGACACAATATTCCTCTCCGGTTTAGACAGGCACTTGCTCCAGTAGCCACGCCACTACACGTTCTTGGCCGTCTATTTCTTGGGACAAAACAGCACCGACACTTTCATTGCTCGCGTCGGTGTCAAGAATAAATGGTCGGTCGAGCTGAGGATACGTCAGGATTGGAGCAGATGTTAAAGCCTCCTTTAAGTTGTTAAATGCATCCTCGCATTCTTTTGTCCACAAGAATCTTTGCTTGCTCTCTGTCAGCTTGTGAAGGGGTCTTGCGATGGAAGAAAAAGTCCTTCACGAATCTCCTATAGTAGGTGCAAAGCCCTAGGAAGCTTCTCAGCTGATGGACATTTTCAGGACGTTTCCAGGATTTAACCGCTGATACCTTTTCAGGATCCGTGCGCACACACCTTCTGCAGAGATGACATGTCCCAGGTAAGTCACTTCCTTTCGGAACACAATTTGCATTTAGCGGGACTCAGCTTCAGATTGGCTTCTTTCAGTTTCTGAAGCACCTTCCTAAGATTTTCTAAATGTTCTTCAAAACTCTTTCCGACGATGATGATGTCGTCCAGGTATATCAGGCAGGCTTCGTAGGAAAGACCTTTCAAAACCAGTCTCCATAAGACGTTCGAATGTTGCCGGCGCATTACACAGTCCAAACGGCAATCACCTTGAATTGCCAAAGCCCTTGTCCCGTAGTAAATGCCGTCTTTTCTCGGTCTTCAGGCTGTATTTCTACTAACTGCCAATACCCACTCTTTAAATCAAGTGTTGAGAACCACTTGCTTCCAGAAAGAGTGTCTAGAATGTCGTCAATTCTAGGAAGAGGGTAACTGTCTTTCTTCGTAACCTCATTCAACCGGCGATAGTCAACGCAAAATCTTGTTGAGCCGTCTTTCTTTCTGACGAGAACGATGGGAGATGCCCATGGACTCGCTGAAGGCTCGATGACATCGCCTTCTTCCATATCTTTTAAGTTTCGTCCTGTGTGTCCTTTAGCAGTGTTCGCACCTCTTCCTGTTTAGCAAACGGTAGACGTCTTGGATGTTGCTTGATCGGGGATGATCGCCGGTATCTATTCTATGTTGTGTCAAACTAGTTCGACCCACGTCAGAAGACGAGCGGGAGAAACAACTTGAAGATCTTTGATGACGCGATCGGCAGCATTCTTCTCTTCATCGTTCAATTGCGCATTCTGCAATAACTCCGATGTAATGCTCTCTGATGAGGACACGGATTCTTGGATATTGCTCTTTCTTTCAACGCTGGTTACTGGAGTACATGCTGCAACCACGTCGCCTTTCTTAATAACTCTCGCCTTCTCAGTTACATTGGCAACTCTCACCGGGATAACCATTCTCGATAGGTCGACGAGTGTTGAGGCTACTAGTACTCCTTTCGGGCTATTACAGTTATTGGGATATTCTATGATGCCGTAGCGGAAATCTCTGTTTTCGGCTATAGATCCAGGGAGTAAAATTTCTGTTCTTGCCGGTATTGTGATATTGTCTTGTGCTATGATTCTGTGGACAGATTTAACTTCTTCATTATTAATTCCAAATAACGTTATGTCCTCAGACGCAGAATGCAATTCGTTATTTTTAAAGTCCAAGGAAAAATTGTATTTCCTTAGAAAGTCCAATCCGAGTATGCAAGAATCAGTGATCTCTGCTACATATGCCGTGTGATGGTAAGCGGCACTTCCAAACGTGATGTTAACATTTACTTTCCCATTGATGTCGATCTTCTCACCGGACACAGTCTGTAGGGTAACGCAGGGCGGCGTCCAGAAAAGTTTGCTTTCCAGTTGTTGAGCCAAATCTTTTCGGATGATGGTAACGTTGGCTCCTGTGTCTATCGTCATATTGCAGGGGACTCCGTTAATATGTCCTATTATGAAAAGTCCATTACTGCCGCCTCTCACTGCAGAAATCTGAAGCGCTTTAAACTGGGGCTTTTCATTATCTGGCAACCTCCGCCCCGCGAGATGGCCACTAATTAGTTTCCCTGCTGCTTGTTAGAAGCGGTCTTAACATCCGTACCCTGGGGTATTCTGCAGTTTCGTCGTATGTGTCCTTCAGCACCGCAGTTCCAGCACTTAACGGTCGGTTTCTTCTCACCAATATTCCGTCTCAAGGCGTTCAGTTGTCTAGTTAAATCGTCTAGACGAGCGGTGACTTGATCCCCTGGCTCCTGGACTTGAGCAGCTCTGACTGGGGGCGGTCTCGACGAGTGGCTTGCTGGGCTGCCTCGAATTTCATGGCGTACACTAGAGCGCTTTTTAAATCTTTTACATCCGCCATTCGTAGAGCTTTTTGTATTTCAGTATCCCGGATGCCATCGATGAAATATTGCAGGGACAGGATTTCCCTTGTTTCTGTCGGGCACTCCGAAAAGGCGTGATGTGACAGCCTTTCAACATCCGTGGCGAGCTCCTGAAGTGATTCAGTGGGCTTCTGTTGACGGGATTTTAATTGAAGCCTGCTGTAGTCTTTTAAACATTTCTCGCCAAAGCGCAGCTCCAAAGCGCCGGACAGAGCTTCGAAATCTAACCTTTTGTTTTCGGGAAGAGTCTGAAGGATATCCGCTGCGTCGGCTCTTAAAGAAGCGGCGAGATGACAGGCCTTAGCTTGGGAATCCCATCCATTCGCATCCGCAACGATAGAAAACTGGGTCTTGTACACTTGCCAGGATGTCTTCCCATCATATGTGGATAGCTTCAGAAATGGACGAGCAGGCATCGGTAAGAATTTAAAATCATCATTCTTGCTCCCTGCCGTCGCTACGAATTTCTTTAACGTTTCCATTTCTTTGGCAACTGCAGAAACTCTCTCATCAATTTGTTGTTCGACTTGGTGTTGGACGGCACAAACTCTTCCTTCAATTTCTTCCTTCGTTAAGAAACCTCCACAGCCGAAACTCTCCCTTCTATATGTTCTTTTACAGAAGAAACTTTTTTTCTATTTTCTTCTTTCATTCACCGAAGAAACTCTTTCTTCAATTTGATCTTTTACGAAAGAAACTTTTTCTTCAATTTGTCCAACTTTATTTTCAACTGTGTCAATTCTGCCTTCCATAGCTTCAAATTTATTTTTCTATTATGCAGGTAATTTCTCTTTTCATTTCTTCTTGACATGCTTCAATCTTTTCTTGACCAGCTTGAACGGCTTTCATTTCGTCCTTAACGGATTCCTGGCCCAATTTCATTTTCTTCTTTAAATGAGGCAAAGGCTGATATTAACTGCCTTAATTGCTCTTCCATCGCTCTTGTTATTGGCATTCAAATCCCACTTCTGACACCAAAAATTGTTGCGTGCGTACGGGTTCGTTATGAAATGAATGCACAAGTCCGATGAAAAAAATGAACAAAAATTTATTATTATCACAACAAAAATGCTTAAATTTTCTCAAATTATCATGCAGTATTACAATATCTCACAGTAGTTATCTTTTAACTACTCAAATGTCCAATAGAACGTAATTCAAAACAGCTAAAGAACGCTAATCCGCGAATTCGCTACAATCAACAAGAGCAGTTTTCTAAAACAACAACAAACTAAGCAAAACAACTCCAAACTGAGATGTTTTCCTCCTTTTATAAGATTTTAAAATCACGCGCTAGAATTTTCCAGTACTTTCTCGAAATCAAAAAGAGATATTTATTTATTTAATGCACGCGCTCTTGTATTTTCAATTTTCCGGCTTAGCTTTCTTTTAATATTCGTCACGCGCTGCACTGCGCGAGAAATAAAACCAATTAATTTATAATTGAACTAATATTAGCTTTTTAAATACCAATTTCGTAACAATATGTATCTTGATCTTATGTGTCTTCTGTTACTGTGTCTCGAGGTAGAGGAGGATAACATATTGTTTCCCATGTTAAAAAAAATAATTAATTTAAAAATTTTTTAATTTTAGTTTCCCTGTTATAGCAAAAGTTAGCTTCTAAACTAACATACTGTTATGTGACTGGACCCCCAATATTTATATTTTATTATTAATTTTTTTCCCCCTCTACACATCTATTCAGCTTTACAAAACACACTCATTACACGCACCTGGAAGACTCTATTTAATGTAAATGACAACAATTTCCTTCCCTTTTTGACTACACTCATGGGCACAATCGTTGTTTTTTTTTTAAAGAAAATTCTCTTACTTCCTTTCCTTTTCTTTCTATAAGCCCTTTTTTTATTTTTCAAAATTATTTATATATATATATTTTTCCCTCTGCATTACTTTTGGGGCATTTACATTTTAATTTATTTTTTGTCCCATCTTTTCTTCCTGGCCTTTCGAACTCGTATAAAAAATATACGAAGTTCCTTTTCTTTCCTTCAGCCCACCAGCGGCCGAGCGGTAAAGACGCTAAACACTGGTAGTTCGGTCTGAGGTTTGAATCCCGCGAACGGGCTGGCTGCATGGGCGTTTTCGTGGTTTTTCCCATGTGTAACGTGTATACGAGCCAGTTTCCCTTAGAAAGTCCTCCACGAAAGGCATCCCTCCCTTTAGGCAGATAGCCCTCGTGTGCTTTGCCATAACTGAATAATCCAAATCCAAATCCTTTTCTTTCCTTCACAATTCACTCTGTAGGCAAAAAGACTTGGTAAGTGCACAAGAAGACATCAATAAATCTTTGTTGTATTTCCTGGCTGCACAATTAACGTTTTGTAAAGTTTGTTTTTCAGTTTCTTTTCTTTAATTTGCATGGTACAGAGTAATATCGGTATTTTTTTTTAAACTTAATTATGAGATACGGTCAGCTTGTGATTGGCCCAGCAGGCTGTGGTAAAGTGAGTTTAAATCTTTTGTGTATTCTTTTTTCTCTGTCTATTTTTCTTCGTCACTCAGAATTACTTACTTTTTCTTGAATAATTAAAGAAAGTTTTTATATTAATTATGTATGTTCTCTTCTTAAAAAAAGATATATTTATATAAATAGGATTTCATATTTTCTGTGAATTTCGTACGTATCTGACGGGCACACGTGTTGTACACATTCTTATTATCGCGTAGGTTTCTGAATAGCGATCATTGTTTCTTCTGATAATCAGGTATACACTGCATAATTTAAAGGAGTATGAGGGTGTATCTTCAGGCTAGGTTTCGGTTGGTAAACCTCGGAATAAGTGTGTGAGCACTAATAGTTATATGATAATGATGTGGCCGAAATGCAAAAACGGCCCCCTTTTTTGGTCTAGGTGGTGATCGAGCTCTGTTTGGAACTCAACAGAGTTTTCAACCGGCAAGTTCTATTCAACTTACAGTGGTTTTGTTTTCGGATATTTGTATCATTGAAATTTATTTGCTTAGATCTTGTACTAAATATTGAAATATAGATTTCAATTTTTTTTTGTGTGTGTTACTTTTTGTCCGTTTTAAGCCTTACTTGGTGCAAAATAAATATCTTCAAATTATTCCTAGAAATAAAATAATTTATCCAATGTCCAATCAGTAACTCATAATTGTTTTGATACTTGAAAGTTTTGTTGAAATGTTTTGCCATATGATGTTTCTTGTTAAAATTTTTAGTTTTAAATGAAAATAATTTAAAAGCATTATGTGCATTTAGAAGTTATTACTTGTGTAGAAAAATTTATATTTACATTTTCATATCTGAAGTGATTATGACAAGATGCTAGTAATTAACAAGTTCTGTTATAAATTTAATCATTCATTATTTTAAAAATGGTAAAATTGTTCAAAATATTCAAAAAGTCCTTGACGTAAAGTGCTCATCCATCTGCATTATTATTAGTATTAAAACAATGGAAACTGCATGGAGCTGTTCAAAATGCACTGAAGTGTGGACCACATTTCGAGCTAGGAAAAAGGAACTGAAGATTTATTGTATTAAAATTCAAACAGGATCCAAAAATTAGGGCTGTAAAACTTACAGTGTATTTAGAAGATCAGTGTGAAATCAAAGTTAATCGTGAAACTGTAAAAAGAGTCATTAGCGAATATGGATCAAACCTAGAAGGAGATTTTTTGACAGCAAGGAAAATATGCCTGGCTTTTGCAAAATCCATGGTAAACAAAGATTCAACACATGAAACAATCATATATTTGTTGGCATTTTGAAATTTAATATGACAATGGCACTGTTTCTCCAAGAATTCTGCAATTCCCTGTTTTTTTTTTTTTTTTTTTTTTTTAAAGGTTAAAATATATTACCAAGCACTTGGACTGATAATCAGAAGCATCGCATTTTTAATTTTGTTTATTAGTTGCTGTTTTATATAAATTTTAGTCAGCCATTTTTTTTAAATGATGTCGTTTTTCACATGTTGGGTTAGCAAGAAATTAGTTACAAAACGATTATTGACTTTTCAGGAGGGTTAGCCAGAATATCAAAAAGCACTAGTTAAACATTTCTGCTAGTTCACAGAATCCCCCAAAATCTGCTGACTTTCTGTGGAAGTGCTACAGATAATCAGAAAGTACCCAATATTTTTGTAACTAACAAATTAATTAATTCTTTGCATTTCCTAATATTTATGATGTGTTTTAATGTTAAAAAAAATTACTATCCCTTGTTTTGGATCAGGATTAAGAACAGAATCAAACAGTGTTTTGAAAGAAAGTTGCAAAAGAAGAATAAAAAAGTTGCAAGTGAAATCAGAGATTGCATGGTATTTTTGTGACATCATAGGTGCACAAACTCAGATAACTTCTGATGTCATGACAAAGTCAGTTTCCACGTGCAAATCAAGTTACAAACTATTGAGTTGGCAAGAAAGAAATTTCGGTTTGCACAAATAGATAGCTTTATGTTCATATTGCTATTCTTCTGTCCATCATATAGTTTTTTTTTTTTTTTTTTCTTTTTAATTTGACAGCAGACACATTTAGCTTGCTATACAGACAAATTCTCTGTCTTTTTGTAGACAACTATTAGGTTACAATCAGTTTTAACATAGGCTGCAAAAATAAACATTTTTGACATATTTTACTTTTTATTTTCAAGAAAGAAGCTGAGGCTTACAAAGATATATGTAAAGTTTATGATGTTGGTTGTATAACAGAATACATGTGTCAGAATTAGTTTAAACAATTTCATTCTGGAGATTTTTCGCTTAAAGAAAGCATGCATTCTAGTCAACCTTCTGAAGTTGATGATGGCAAATTTAAAGCCGTAATTGGCACATAACTCTGCGAAAGATTGCAAAAGGGTTAAGTGTGCCAAACACAATTAATGAAATTCCCATAAGAAGGAGCATGATATTTAGTTTCCATGTGAATTCAAAGAAATTCACTTAACACAACGAATCTATGTTTGCGATACGCATTTCAAACCTAATGCAGTCGACCTATTATCACTGGTTTATTTTTTAAACCTATTATCACTGGTAATGAGAAAGGGATCATCTATAATAAATTTTAAAAAAAATCATGGTTTAACTCAATGAATCAGTACAAGTCATATTATAAGCTAAATTGCATCAGAAAAAAATTATGCTATCAAGGTAGTGAAATTGCTAAGGTGTTGTATATTTTTGTCTACTTCCAACGATCAACTCGGATGTTGATCAGCAGTAATCAAAGAGAAAAGGCCATAATTGGCAGATGCACCATTAAAGAATATTACGAATTTCAATACGTGTGCAGCTTTCAAGTTAGAGAAATTTGTCTAAAAAACTTTAGCAAATGCGATGGTATTCTGAACTATCAGTTTCACAATGGAGGTAGATTTTTGCTATCTCATGACTTCATGCTGTATACCTTTAAAAAGTATTTTAGTAGAGCGGAAGACATACTGACAATGCAAAAATCTTTATGAAGAAAAGAAAATCTTGTTAAAAATAAGGCTTGGTACTCACGTTGTAAAATTGCTTTCTTTAAGAAAATTGCATCAGTGCACAGAACATATTATTCTTTTTTCCTGTTAGAGATGCGTTTCTCCAAGCATTGTCAGCGGGCATGTATTTTGGGAAAAATCAGTTTTATATTCAGTCACTCATTTCTTTAAATATCACTCTTTTATTTGCAGTCATCTGGTGTGAAAAGTTTATCGTACACCTAGTAGAAAGCACAGCTGTATCGAAAAAGAGTGGGTTATGCTTTTCAAAAAATTGTGGAAAGCAGGGCTGTGGAGTCGAGGTTGGGCATATTTTGAGGTAAAAGAAGTCGGAGCTAGAGTCACTAAAAACAGGTCGACTTCGACTCCAGTTTTTGTTGGATAGTTTGAATCTGAAATGAAATGCAAATGAATTTTTAAAAAAATTAATGACAAGCTGAGTTAATATTTTATTTATCGACTATATACATTAATAAATAGTTATTTTCTGTTTTATTGACATATTAATAAATAAATATAAGGGAGAAGGATGGATGTGATATTTGTCATTAGTGATTAAACTGATTCATTTAGTTACAAATTTCACTAGGTAAGCAAGAGCAGCAAGAACTCCCAAAACTGATGGCATTCTTAGGAAGCGAGCAGGAAAAGGAGCAGTTATTGATCGAGCAATGTGATAAGGAAGTACATATTTGATGATAGAATTAAGAACTTGTTTAGAAGATGTAGATAACCCTAATGTTTCACTAACAGAAAGACTGTGGAATGATCTTCCAGAACTGGAAACTTTTCTTTCTACACCATATATAACCACAAAAAAGCTGCAATTTGAAGAATGGACTGGAGGTAAGAATGGAAGAATGTGATTTTTTTTTTTTTTTTTTTTTTTTTTTTTTTTTTTTAATGGAGGGTTTTTGCAGAAGAATCATTTCTTCAATGAAGAAAAGAGAAAACAGTTGCTAGAAATGAGATCTTGCTGGATTCAATATTGTAGATCCGAAACATTGAATTTTCTTGGATGACAAACAAATTAAAAAGGCAAAGGAAACCATCTATGAACTTTCATTAAGAATGAAATTATTCTCAGAACGCTTAGAGAATTTGAATCAGGACAGTCAAATTGCAGACATTGCATTTGAGTCTCTATCATCCTCTTCCAGTGATGAATTAGATTTTGAGAAATATTTTTGGATCATGTTGAAAAGACTGAGGCAAAGCGAATGAAAATAAAGAACCAAGAGCCTTAAGATATAAAAATGAAAAAATACAAACATGGCCTTTGAAGAAATATGATTGCGCTTGCAAGACATCTCTTTTAGAACTTATAAAACCTATCCTGAAAAGATAAAAGAAGTAGCCCTAACAGTAACAGCTCTTCCTCCTACTCAAGTTAGTGTGGAAAGACTCTTCCCAGCTCAAAGTTTATCAAATCGGATCTATAGTCCTCCAACAAAGAAGATCTTGCTAAGCTATACTGTTTCTTAGAAATAACTAATGCCAGTTTTTCATTTCATAATAAATGCTAATTAATATAAATAATTTGCTATGCCATTAATTTTTTTTCTGTAGCATCTACAGTCAAAAGTTGTTAATTCGGACACCCATAATCCGGACCTCAAAGCTACAAACTTTCTGCGCATGCGTCGCATTGACCATGCACATAGGCGTTTACAGATGCGCGTAAGACCTTTACGGTTGCGCATATGCTTGTGCGCATGCGCATAATACGTTTACACATGCGCATTTAATGTATAACGGACGGTATAAGCTACAATTATCTAATTATTTATTTCAGTTAATTGCAGATTGCGTTGTTTCTTAATCTTCGAATTGGATCCGGCTTATTATTTTTTGCAGACTGTTAGAGCAATTTTATAAAAGTAAGCTTTAACTTTCGATTATGTCAAATAGAATATCCAATTCTGGAGCTCCCCAAGGATCTACAAAGCAAAAGTATGTTCGAGTCCATCAAACAAAGAGTGGAATTGCTGCAAAAATGGATAAAGGCAATCCTTTGTTCTCTAACCATTCTGAAATCCATTATTGATTTCACACTGCTCTGCAGGGGGGGGGAGCCGCAGTGCGCAATGAAGGAACTTGATCTGTAGCACTATCCTTATCTCAGGGCAGACGTTTTTATTTATTTGGCTTAATTCCTTACTAAATGTATTTCATCTTGATATACTCCATCTTGATATGATTAAATCAAATCTTCGCATTATAATTCACTTCCGATAGTGAAGAAAGTGATATTATTATATTCTTTTATTTTATATTTTTATTCTTTCTTATTCTTATCTTTATTAGGAGATATTATAGGACAGGGGAATTTGTAACTGAACAAGAAATTATGTATTTATAGAATTAAGAGAAAGTATTATCACATAAAACGAAGCAACTTAAACAACTTACATTGAAGGAAATGTTAATCAAGTACAAATAAATATTAAATTTTTTTTTTTTTTTTTTTGTAAATTTTGATGCCCTTGATCATATTGTTCTTTATTTCATAAATAACGGTTTCATATTTTAATTTTTTAATTTCTGCATGCCAGCTTACCAGATTTAAACTGATGATCGATAATCCGGAATCGCCGAAGTCCTGACGAGTCCAGATTAACGACTTTTGACTATGTTAACAAATATTTATTTTATAATGCATTAATTTTTTTTTTTGAGGTAACAAAAAGTAGCATAAGGAAATGGTGAAGTCGCAAAAATTTTACGAAGTCTCATAGACATAAAATTTAGTAGCATAGGTTTGTCAAAAGCAGCAAATTTGCAAAAAATCACAAGATCTGGTGACACTGAATTCAAACCATTCCCATTTTGTAACATAATAGAAACAGCATCTCACAAAATGAATGCCATTGTGTTTGTTATGGAGATTATTTTATTTAATAGGTTATATTCATTATGTGAGACATCACTATAATTTATTTTTCCCCCTTTAATGAAAAAACTATGACAAATGCATCATTTAACATTTATTCACTACTGACAGCATTTAATATAAGAGCTTATTTTAGTGAAAGTATATTTGTTAGATTTGAAATTCTGAATTGCATTCATATTTTCATAAGGAGGATTCAAATATTGGAAGTGGATAAAAGTTTTGTACATTTGTTTAATGTAGTATGTTTAAGTAAATAATTTCTAACTTATTTTATGTTAAAGCTAAGCAGTTGTAATTATAAGTGATCCTATGGCATGAATTATTATGCTATTTTATTCTAATTTAATGATTTATTAAATCCTTATTTTCAGTCTACTTACTGTTCAACAATTGCAAAATACTGTGAAGATGCTCGCCGAGTAGTAAAAGTTGTTAATCTTGATCCAGCCGCAGAAGCTTTTGATTATCAGCCAGTTTGTGGTAAAATTCCATTTTATTTTAGGTAATTGGATAACCCTGTAGGATGCGAGCTACCATTTTAGCTATTTAGTTATTCCTTAGATGTTGCCTTTAAAACATTATATGTAAATTTAAATGTGCAATAAGATGGCAGGGGAAGAAAAGATTAAAACAACCAGTTTGGGTAAACATAGATTTATGGTTGCCCCTTGGTGGTACATGGAGACCTAGTTTTTGCAGTTCTTTGACTGCAAAAACTAGGTCTCCATGTACCACCTTGACTTGTGGCTTTGTGTAACAGCGAATTTTGTGCCAAAAATTGCTGCTGCACATAGCTAAAATAACAAGTCAAAGAATTGCACAAACTTGGTATCCATGTACACATTGACCTGTTTTCACTTAAAGAAAGGGAAAAAAAAAAAAAAAATATCAGAGAATTTCACAATTAGGCATTGCGCACTCCCTTTGCTTTGCCCATGTACACATTGATCTATATTCACTTAAAAGGTCAAACAAGCAGTCAACAAAAAATATATGAACTCAATAAATTATATGTAAATCAAACAATGAAACAACATAAAAAAGAAATTCATCTTAGCACTACACAAAGGAAATATCCACTTACCAGATTTATGAATGTGCGTATCTTCAGTCAAACAAATTTCCTTAACAGCATGCAAAAACTTCCTAAAATTATCTGAACTAGAAACTGTATACTGGCATCGCCACATAAAATCACAAAATTAAGAGTAAAAAGTGTCCTCCGTAGTCCAAGTATCATCCGATGTTCGACGCTATGCATTTTCCTTCCTACAAACAGAACACTTAATAATGGCTACTAATTAAATCTTCATTTAGACACCAGTCAATTAATGCTTTTTTTCTCTTTCGTTCCAAATCCTATAGAAACTTCAAATTAATCTTACCACATTCAGCCATTTTAATAAATAACCACAAAATAACAACGTACTTCTTATGCAAATGCCGACACAGAATTTCCTAACTCTTTTTCCCATCATTCAAATTCACCTCAATAACACAACTAATTATGTAATAATAGGGTTTCCGTAGCATTAACGACTCGGGTTACCATAAATGAAACAACAACTTAGTGATAATCCAAGGGCCAGCCTTAAATTTACTCTAACCCCAGTTTTAGTTCTGGCATCTAAGAAATAACTAACTAAAAAAGTAGATTGCATACACTATGTTTACTGATGATTGTATTTGTGTGTACTTAATAAGGAAAGAATACTGAGTTACAGGTGTTAAGGTCTGACTTTTAATCTTGCAGCAGCACTTGAATCATGCTATACCCCCTTTGCATTTACATTGTTTGATCTACTTATTTATTTTTCTCAGTATTTTAGATTGGAAAGCTTTCAATCACAATTAAAACAGCAACTTCCTCAATTGGCAATAATTGTGCAAGATTTACTAACATTTTAGTTTAATCTTTTTAATCGAGTCATTAGGTTTATTTCAGAGAAGAGAATTAGCTATGCCCTCACTGAATTTTGAACTCCCAGAACTCCCCATTGCTAGTCAGACATACTTCCAATTACACTCCAAAGTTGCATGGTGAGGAGGGTGAAAATACCTTCAGTTTTTTTTAATAAATTTTAAGTGATGTCATAATTACTTTATAATTAATTTTTAAATGTGCAAGTTTAAAAAAACACATATTTTCTTTAGTAGTTTGGGGAAGATCTGTTTGACAAACTCAGCAGTTTGAAAGCAAGAATTGGTAGTAGCGTTTGAAATAAAACATTTTTATCTCAGGCATGCCACTCTTGCTATTCAGTAAAATGTAAGATATTGATCTTACATTTTAACCTTTTGATGATCATTAATGAGCTCAGCTCGCATTCCATTTACACACCGCAGTGGGGGGATTCGAATTGCAGATTTCTGCTTAATGAAGGAATTCTGTTCATGAGTTAGATTTTTGCACCTACATGTGCAGATGATGTGGTCTCGTTCTTTGTAATAATCCAATGGTTTTTCAGCGTTATGGATGTGTTCAATTCACAGATTATTTCATTTTACATGGTATAAATGGTGCTAGGAGTACTCAATAATCTCCTTCAAAACAAGGATGAATTTGGTATTTTTGGCAGGAATTTTTATATCTTTATTTTGAAATGGCATCAAAGAGAAAGCAGAAGAACTTTTTTTAAACGAGGAATTTGATTCTGAAAAGGAAAATCTCTTATCAGATAAGGAAAATTATTTGGATACAAATATTTGTTTTGCAAGTTCGAAAGATGATTCAAAAGCAGAAGAAAATTTTAGCTATGCCAAATGCGGCATTATGTACCATTCCATATTTCAGGGTCTACCACCTACAAAAAGCATTTTAGGTATTGAGAATACAAATACGTTTCTGCCATTTCTGATCAAACATTGCTGCATTATGTTTTATTCTAAGTATTGTGGATTGCCAGCTGTACTTTTCCCATATTTCTGGCAGTATGTGGATACCATGTAGGAAGAATGCTTCATCTTCGGAGGCTATCACTAAATGAACCCAATTTTTGATATCTTCATATGATGCACACCGCTGCTCAGACAGGCCATGCATCATCAGTCGAAGAAAGTAATAATTAGGATGAGCAATGTCTGGTGAACATAGTGGGAGGGGAAAATTTCTCATTTGAGTGTTTCCGAGTAGGTTTAGACTGGGCCCCAAATGTGGATAAGCATTATCATGCAGGAGAATAATTTTGTCTGAAGTAGTACTAGACGCATTTTTCTTTGAGTGTTTGGCTCTGTCTCATCAGCTGTGTTCGGTAGAGAGCCCCACTAATGGTTTTGTTCGGTTTAGGCAACTCATAGTACATGGCACCAAGTTGATCCCACCGTCTACTCAATAGGATTTTTCTATGATTATTCGGCTTGGCTGTCAAAGCAAGGCCAGGCGGGCCCCATGACTTCTTCTTCTTTTGGTTATTGTAGTGCATCCATTTTTCATCACCAGTGACTATGTAATGCAAGAAACCTCTTTCATTTATACCTGGCGAGCAATATTTCACATGTAAAAAATGAGCATTCAAGACTTCTCGCCTTCAGTTCATATGGAACCCAATTTCACTGAATAATTTCCAATGATTTCAAATAATATGAAATTGCTTGTTGAATCACTCCTAATTATAAGTGCAAGTTCTTCTTGCATTTGGTACAGATCTTCATCCACTAATGCTTTGAATTCCATGTCCTCATACACTTTCATCCTTTTGCTACGTTTTATTGTCTTTGATGTCAAGTTCATTAGTCTTAGACTTTTGAAACCACTTGCTACACTTTCTCACTTTCAACACATATTATCTTTCACAAGCAGTCTCACCATATGCTTCTACAATATGTCTCAGCTGCTGATTTTTTTCAAATTAAGGAAGTGAATCAAAAGTTCCTGCAAATGACACCTCGCTCACCTCAAAACTCGATATTTTGGCACAAGAAAGAAAACGTCATGATGCTGATACAAAATCGCTAATATTTCAAGGTCATGTTGTTAGCAGGTGTCCAACCTTCTGATATGATGTTTAACATTAAACAATTTTTAATATAACTTACTGGAGGCACTTTTTTTTTGGGGGGGGTCAAATGGCAGACATAGTTCTACTCACAGTAAATATCTATTCATTCATTAAACTTTTTATTGTTATATTATAAGTTTATTGATTTGTAATTAATTCAAACACAATATGAAATGTTTTTTTTTTTTTTTTTTTTTTTTTTTTCTTTTTTTTTTTTTTTTTTTTTTTTTTTACTTTTTTCTTCATTACAGTTAAAGGCGTAATTCGGACACCCATAATCCGAATGATCTATAATCTAATAAAATATAACTTTCTTGCGCATGCGCGTTGAAGCATGAGGACACCTTTGGCTGACGCATATGGTGTGGAATGATAAACGTGTAGCTGCATGTTAAATAATGGGCTAAGCAAAATTATCTATTTCAGTTAATGTTGCAGATTGCATTGTTTTTAATTCAGTGAATTGGATTGGCTTTTAAAACTTTCAGTCCTGCAGACTGTAACACTGTTTATCAACATAACGCCGAACCTTTCGATTAGGTCAAATAGAATTTCTGATTATATTACTAATATGTAAAGGATCTCCAAAGTGAAAGTATGTGTTCGAAGTGCATTAAACAAAAAGTGGAATTGCTGCCAAAAAATGGTAAAGGCCTAGCCTTGTTTTCTCACATTCCGAAATCTGTTTATCAAATTCACGCTTGCTCGTGGCGAAAGGGGGGAACGCCACAGCCACAAGAAGTGAAGTTGTCTGTCACTACTATCCTTATCTTCAGGGCAGATGTTCTTATTTTATTGGCTTAGAATTACACTAATGTAGTATTCATCTTGATGTACTCCGTTTGATATGTTTAATCACATCTCGTCATGTAATTCGTCCCGATAGTGAGAAAATGACAAGAGGTTATGAAACGAAAAAATTTGGGTTTGACAATTAGTCGGTTTCTCGACAGCAGTATAGGACTTCAACAGCGAACTTTGTAACTGACAAGAAATTTTCTGTTATAGAATTAAATAAAAGTATCCCTAAAACAAGACTAAACACTTACGTTGAAGAAGTTTAATAAGTAAACATAATATTAAGCTCTTTTTTTTTTTTTTTTTTTTTTTAAATTGATTTGTGCCTTTAGATCATATTGTTCTTTATTAAATTACGGTTTCTATTTTTAATTTTAATTCTGCTGCATCTTACCAGATTTAAACTGTGATCGAAATCGGAATCGCCGAATCCCGACGAGTCCGGATTAACACTGACTGTACTAAAACATTGTTATATTGACAGATTTGATTGTATTGCAAATGTAAAAGTATTATTAAATTTATTATACTTTATATATATATAATATTTTTAATATTTTCTTAAAGATGTATGCATATTTTCCCTTTCAAAAAGTCTTCATTCTTACTCAGAGATAGTGAAATTTATTAGAGCATCTGGGGGAAAGATGCCATTTGTTCTCACTGTGACTGAAAGATATTGCATGTATTTGTGAAGAAAGAATTCCTTAATCTCAGAAAGCAATGTATTGCTAATGCCCAAAATAAAATATTTTTCTCCCATGCCTTGTTGCAACAATTCTGTAAAGCATAAGATATTTAACTTTCAGATTTAATCTGAAAGATTACTGATTAATAAACTAAGTGATTTAAGAGCAATAAAAAAGATCCTAAGAATACTTTTAGTACTTTACTATATGATTAATTATTTAAATAAAAATGCATTGAAATCGTGAAATAGCTAATCAGGAATATTAAATAAGTAACTATAATCTTTAAAATCATTACATACTTTTCCTTTTTTTGCAATAGCGATTTTAGGCAGCTAACCAGGTGAGAGGCTAGTTTTTAAGAAATAATATAGCAAATATTAAAAAAGTATGTGTTAACCTCTAGCACTCAATCCTGAATGCTAAAGATATGCTGTTTTTAAATATTTTGTGATTTTGCCATTGAACTGTATGTAATGAAATTGCAGAGAAAGCATTGCTTAATAATCTAGTTGAAAGCACACCAAAAATGTAACATTAGGAGGAGTGAGTCCATGAGCAGATTGGTAACCTGCAAAACTCAGTGTAAGCATAAAAAAACCTTAACAAACTCTCTGGAGGGACATTAAAACTGAATCCTTTCAGATTTTCTTCCTTCTTTTTTTCCCCCCCGTTATGTGATTTAAAATTTAATAAATTGATAACCTGTTTTATGATAGCTGTTTTCATTAAATGATATGTGTTTAAAAGATGTCTTGTTTCTCCATTCATTTCTTTTTTAGATATCCGTGACTTAATACATCTAGATGATGCTATGGAAGATGAAGATTTGCATTATGGCCCAAATGGTGGCTTGGTTTTTTGTCTCGAGTAAGTGGGTGTTCCAACAATACCATATTATGTAATTGTAATATATTATTACTATAGCTATGTATCTACTGTTACTATAGTCTGTAGGTAATATATCCATAGACTGACTACAGACTGTGAGACTGCTGATAATAGAGAATTCTCTATAAAATAGGATATTCCTGTAACATACATAATCATGGGCAAGTTTAATTCCTAAATACTATGCATAACTCCCAGTTTTTTATCGCATATCCTGGTTTTTTTTTTTAGTCTTTACTAAAGAAGATTCTCAGCAATAAATGAAATATATTGAATTAATAAAACCTAAATTAGATAAATTCCATTCCCCCTACTATAATGATTTTCAGAATTATTTCTACTAAATTAATTTAAAAATTCATTTTGTTTAGTAGGATGTATTTTTTCTTATTTTTTATTTATATTTGTTGTAAATTTCATTTGATCCATGTTGTCTGAATCTACTGTAGATATTTGTTGATTTTTATAATGAGTATGAGAAGATGATGTTACAAACACACAGACGTGCACAGATTTTAATAGTATAAACTTTTTTGTTATTTGAGGGATCGGATTAAGAAATGTGTATGTGCATGTATATATGTACACTGTGCGGAAAAAAATAAAATTAAAGGGACAGTTTTATATCTCCCATTCTACTGGGCAGATTGACAAAATTCAAATTGTGTTTTTCATGTCTCGAAAGTGCAATTTAAGATATATATTAGATTTATATATAACACTGTTCTAACATAGGTAATTTGACACAAAATCGAAATTTCTCTGAAACAACATACTCATTTTTTTTCCATATTTTGATTCTACGACTCAAATTATGCCTAAATATTAAATTTTATAAAATTTGGTGTGCAAATTTATCTTGGCACAATGTTTTCAGTTTGCGTCAAGAATAATTCACTTCTAGCACTCATTCCTGAATGCTAAAGATATGCTACATGAACTGTGCATATTTTGGACTGTGCACTAACATGTTGGTAACTTCTAAATTGGCAACCAATTTTCCTTTCCCTTCCATTATGCTGGAGTGGGGAAAAAGGCACCTCGTTCCTACCTTTCTATGTTGTGCATGAGCGGGGATAAAGGTCACATCGTTTCTACTTCCAAGTAATTTTAGCATAGTGTCTCAACCACAATTGGTGTTTTATCACTTTCAACAAATATGCCTAATTTCAAAATGTGCCAATATATAATTTTACCTATATCATTGGAAATTTTTGAATGAAAAACTTTAATTTTTTGCAGGTATGCTTAGAAATATGTGTACTTTAAGATGGTGGTAAAAAATTTATAGATTATAATTCAAAATGTTTTTTGAAAAATTATTTAAAAATACAAATTTTAAAAATAAATCATAAAAATGGGAGAATTTTATTGGGAATGAACCTAAGTTTCGAAATGTGAAAGGAAGAATCAAATAGTTTATAAAAAAAGAGAGATAATAAATATTTACCAAACTAAAAATTGAAGAGCCAAACTTTTGAGAGCTAATTTTAAACTACTCGTGCGATTTTACAAAACTGTAGTGGGGTAATTTGAGTCGTAGAATCGAAAGGTGGAAAAAAATCAGTATGTTTATTTAAAAAAAAAAAAAGTATGTTTTTGTGTCAAAATACCTATATTAGAACAATGCTATATATAAATCTAATACATATCCTAAGTCGTGCTTTTGAGACATGAAAAATGCAAGTTGAACTTACTAAATCGGCCCAGTAGAATGGGAGATATAGAAATGCCCCCTTTTTTTTGTGCAGTGTACATTTGTATATGTTCTGATAACTTTTAGACTCATCAGTAGCTGAAAGCCATTGGTAGCCCTAGCCAGCAGGTGTTTAAAGTGACATAAAAGGAATATGAGTTAGTTGGGAGAAAAGTCACTTTTGCCTCACATCTGCCTTTTTTTAGTATTCTTCATAATTTTATTTATTTTTTAATGGAGGTTAGGATTTGAGAACTTTGTATTGTATTGTATTGCATACTCTGTGACACAAGCAACAAAAATATTATTTAACGAATAGCAACATTTAAGCGACAGAATTTGAATTATGCATTTTTACAGCTATTCTTTGATTTAGTTACAATTTTTATTGTGAATGAGACCATCAGAGATATTTTTATTGCCTCTGAGAGCGTATTTCATGCATTGAAAATCGGAAATACGCTTAAAAAAACTAGCCAGGCTTTTTTTCACGTATTGAATTTTTAACAAAGCTTTAGCTTAAAATATGCATAGCGCCCCATCGAAATCAACAAATAATATTTTTTTCTACTCAAAACACCACTGAGACATTTTCGTCCGACTTCTCCGTGACAAAGAATATAGGCATGTCATGTGTGACGCCATCTGATCAGCGATCATAGACAAATTTAAAGAAGAAGCTGACATGAAATTGAAGTTTCATTGTCTATTTACAAGCACTATTCGTCAACACATCCAGTTACTCGACTGGTCATTAGATGGGAATTGGTTACGACACAGTTGGTTTGCGAGTTCGGTGAAATTTCAATTACGAGCTGGAAAAATTTTGCACCTCTTTCAGAAAATTTTAAGGTGAATAAAGCTATATGAAGCTAAGTAAGTTTTTTTTTCAAAATTTTCTAGCATGATTTATATATGCCTTAAAATTTGTATGCGTTAGTGTTTGCATTTTCATTCTTTCATTATTCTGCGCTAGTCAGGAAAAAAGTCGAAATTTTATTGAGAACTACCAGACTACCAGTACAAAAATAAAATTTTAGTTCCAATCTTCTTTTTAAAAAATCATAATCTTCACTAGTCTTACAACGCAAATCTTGAGTGTTCTATTGCTATTTCGTTAAAAAAATATCAATTTTATCACGTTTTTCGGTACAAAAATTGGAATAGCATTGATAATTGTCAGCTGTCATAAAAAGACATCTCCTTGCGATTTTCTAGTGGGCAAATCAGGACTTAACGTTCTGCTTATATGAAATTAATTCGTCTAAGAGTCACTCCATCTGAAAATCAATATTTAGCTGACATCTATCTATTCAAAATTAATATTTTGCATAAATTTTGAAATTTTTACCAATTTTGGGGCAAAAATAAGTACTTTTTTGGATTGTACAAACCCTGCTGTAAATACTCTTGTTTTCTTGAAATATTCTGTAGGAGAGTAGTATAATTTTTATTATTATTATTGTTTTAATTTGATGGCACAAGATCGCCTAACTCATTACTGATTTTAACTAAATATCGTTCTTAAAACGATTGTAATTTGTATTCGCACTTATAAAATAAATTCTTTCAATAAAAATTAATAGTTAAGCGAAATTAGATCACTATGGAGCACATTTAAAATTAAGAAATTCCATACAGTCTGCAAACGAAACGAAGACTTACAATGATCAGCTTTTAGGAGAAGCCACATCAGAATATTTTGTTTTAAAACTAACTATTTTAAAAAACTATTTAATCAATAGGGTGGTCCCCTTGAGACGAGCATTATTCCAGGAGAAAAATTAATTAAAATATTTAAATATGAATTCTAAATCCATCGAGTTTTTTTATAAAAAAGCTGTCAAGCCGGCTCAGAGCCGTCAACTAAGAAACCAAAGATTGATGAACAACCAGAAGAAACTAAAGTAAGTGGCTTAAAGAATTTCCTTGGGTCCTCTGCAATAAAGTACAAAATAAAGTGTTTTGTAAAACATGTCAATCTGCGAATATGAAGAACGGCATGGGTGTGACGGGTTCATCATGTTTTCAAAGAAGTACTCTGTCTTGCCACGAAAAAATTACAGAACTCAGGCTCTCTTTGTTCAAGACTGTTTACACTATTGGAAAAGAAGAACTTCCTTTAACGAAATTTAAGCCTTTAATGATGCTTATGAAATCCTGTGGAAATGAATGTGAAGACTCACTAAATTTATATCAAATTCAGTACAGGACATAATAAGCTATTTCGGAAGTATTAGAATCAAATTTGGATGAAGATGTTTCACAAAGCCCCTACATTTCTTTAATGATAGATGAGTCAACAAGATATTTCAGTTGACCATAAATTAATTATATATGGGAAATATTTGAAAAACAAACAAAGGACTTGGCAAAACATTTCAGGATATGATACCTGGTTTGTTGCACTATCACTGCATATCTCACCATTTAGCTTTAGCTGTTTCGCAAGCTGCTGATGGAACATCTCTGTTTCAAAGCTGCCAGAGAATTTTAGGTTCATTGTATGCTTATTGTCACATGTCCAGTATTAGGATTGAAAAGCTGAAATTGATGCAACATGTGTTAAATGAGCCAAACATAACTCTCAAAGACA